AACTCCAGTTGATTTACATGTACCAGCATATTTTTTTTCTATTTTTCTCTCAATACGGTAAAAATTTAGCCTTATTTACAAAAAAGTCAAACTTAAATTTTATTTTGCAACAACTTTCAATTGTGAAAACCCTGACTTTTTTAAAGCTTTATAAAAAAGCTTTTCTTAGAAATTATGATAGGAAATAAAAAGAAATAGCCACTTAGAATTAGCGAATATGTAATAATAAACCATTACATTAATATGAGTATTTTTCATATACAGACAATTTTTGCTTACATGGTACTAAATATTTTTTTTTTTTTTTTACAAAGTGTTCTATTTTTAGAAAAGAAAAGTGGTAAAAATATTTGCATTAAATATTGTATAAAGTATATACTTGGAAAAAAAATCGGTTGTTCGCTTTGATATATCATTACTATAAATATTCTTGTTTGAATCTTAAGAATCTACAACTTTAATTTGTCAGTGCATATCAAATTAAAGAGGTAAGCAATCGAAACACCAATCTGCCTAGAAAGTAATGGTGGCTGGCGAGCAATGCTGACTATCACTTTGTAGCACACTTTTTTAGATAGTAGTCGCGCATAAATAATATCATACATGAGACTACAACTTCAAATTTAGTTCGCGCAGTTTATTTTTTATTTTTTTATTTTTCCCCCACCAAATTGTACATTATCTGGGCTGCCAACTACTACGCTCTTTGGTAAAATGTTTCATAGAGCAGTAGGCAATTAAAAAAGGAATTTCCAGAATATGTGGAAATTTTGCTGCGATTTTAAAAGTTTTCCTGTCAGGTTGTCAAAGTTTTCCTGTCCTGTTTTCTTGTGGTTCAAAGTGGTTTTTGATATGAACTTTTGAATTGTTTACAAGTAGTGGTGTGAAAAATAACTTTAAATAATATTTACAAAACTATGAATTAAAACAAAAACTTAGCTACCACGTAATTTTTCCCAGAACGCGTAGAAAGTTGACAGCCCTCAATAATATAAGATACATTGTACAGTCTCAGCACAACATCATGAGATAGGTTCTTTTGATATAATATTTTCTCAAATAAATTTATTTAGTAATAAATACATTAAGATGATGTTTAACCTTAGTCGTTATTGAATTAAAATTATTCGCTTGTTATGTATATGTTACCGGCAAAGTATTAAATGCCGACATTGTATAGAATGCCGGATGTTTTGGGGCAAAGTATGAAATGTGAGAAGTATTACATACTTTTCCTAGGCATTGTATAAAATGCCTAGGCATTCTATAGAATGCCAAATGCTATTTAGCAAAGTATGAAATAAACGTCCTGATGAGGTTATTATGTAAATGATGTGCATGTTACTGTGAATGACTGAAATCGGTGGTTGTTGACTTTCACCGGTGAATGTTGACAATCACATAGTCGCTTTGGTGAATGTCCGAAATATTTATTACATCCGATTTGATATTAATTTATTCGTGGATATAATTACATTTATTCGATATTTTTATACTTACTGACGATAGATTAGAAGAAACATCAGTGTTTGGAGTATCGGGTAAATGAATACCGTGCAATGGCACTTGACCTGGAAAAAAAACATCAGTGTAGGGTATACCGGGCAATGGCACTT